TCTCACATGAGTTTTCTAGCTGCTGGGTTGGCAGGAGCTGGGGAGGAGGCAGAAGCTCACTCTGCTGTGCGGAGCTGGGCTCGAACCACTAAAGTGTCAACCATTTCTGGCCGGCAACTTTCAGCGTCATTAAGCTGCTGCGCCACCACATCCCCCAATAAATAAATACCCCCCCCCCAAAAAAAACCTTGAGGAGCTGCTGCTAGTCAGGATAGATAATATTGAATTAGAGCTGTATGTTGATTCAGTACAAGGCAGCTTCTAGAATTTCTTACCCAAGAATACTATAAGATTTAATTGCCTTTCTCTTTGAGTAATTATCAGATGAAGATGAAGCAGTATACTCTTAACAGGATTAAGCTGTCTTCCACTAATTTCTGTTTCATATTCATATAAATTAAACAATTTATCAAAAATAATCCTATAAAGAACAGTTGTCAGGAGTTATACACTTAGGTACTATTGCCTTGCTGCTATTTCATGTTTGTTACTTATGAGTAACAACTCCTTGTTATGCAGGCAAGGAATCCCCACAAATCCTTCCTGAAACTAGTAGCTGTTTTGGGTGTGTTGCCCAAGAGTTAGGCTGAGCTCCTAACGTTTATACCGTATATTCATTTTACACGTCCCTGACCTTTTCCATGCCTGATGACAGCACTGAAGCTTAATAAGTGTACAGGTATCTCACCAAGCTATATCTCATATCTAGACTTTAGGATTCCTAGTTCAAGTGCAGTTGTCAAAATAGATTTTATATACTATTGGATGTCCACTTACCAGAAATAATAATCTTATTAATATTAATTAAATCACATCTCTTTTATAAAACCAGATTGTGAAGGAAGATAAAATGGCTATAGTCTTCATACTGTGGTCACTATTTTTCTGCCAGTATTTGACAACTTGCACAATTGGCAGGTTCCTTTACCAGCTGGTTTGTTCCCCAAGCTGTGCCCAGACATTTTGAATCTAATTGTATTTAATGATATTTGTTTTTTGTTTAACTTGTTCTGTGTTACAGTTTTAGATTATTTTACTTAATCTTTAATCTTGCTGATTCTTTGAGATTAAGGCACAATTTATAAAATTCAAAAATAAACAAAAATGTTTGTTATTTATTTATTCCATTTATATTTCAAGACCAAGAGACAGTGCACACAGTGCTCTTCCTCCAATTTTACCTCAAAACAATTTGTCTGAGAGATAGAAAATGTCCCAAAGACATCACTATGCTTTGTCCTGGGTTGAACTTGGATTTCCCAGGTCCTAGCCCTATAATTTAACCATGGCAGTCATATCACTGCACACAAGTCAGGTATTAGAGTGAACTCCTTCCAACAAAACTGATTTTGTAGGAAAGTTCTGATTTCTTACACAGCTTTAACACATGCTTCAGTTTTGTTGCTAGAAAGTGATATATGTAAACTTCTCTGTTTCGTTTAATGATCACTTGAATTTCTGTTTGAATTTGCTTTTGTTATACATCTTGCAATCCATTTAAAGATACAAATCCACCAATTGTGTATGTTTTAATAGCTTATAAAAAGAAATATTACTATAATGTAATGCACATTAAATATATTTTCGGCTGTTCCCTCAATTCAAGAATCCATGAGCTCCAGTTCAAGCTCCTGAATTCTAAGCAAGGTATTTTTTTCTGACAACCAAATCAAATGTTTCAAACCAGAAAACAACATATAGAAACATCTTAAAGACAGATGTTATACTTTTCTAAAAAGAAAAGTATAAACAACATAAAGAGGAAAAAAAGCAGTCTCCATCCTGCCTGCATTATTCACCATCAGTACAGTACCAAATGGAAATACAGTAACATCTCTGTTTAACAAATCATTGGTAGAAGATTTCCATAAACTTTAACTGATCTCAGTTTAATCCAACTTTGCATCATTTGTGTACATAATTGATATAAATGCTGTCATTTACAGTAAGATCTCAATTTAACGGACACACACTCGGTTTAACAGACAATAGTCTAATGGCAGTCAATTCATCCATTGTAACTGAAGCCCATTAAACCAAACTTTTCCTGTATTCCAGGATGCCACCCAGAGTCACTTTTTGTGAGATGGGTGGCCATACCAATTTGATAATTAATTAATTAAATAAAATGTTGGTGTTGCATAATTAGTAATATTTAAAATTTTCTCAGCACTGAGATAACAAAACCAAACAACAAGGAAATGAGTAGTAAAATGTATGGACAAAATTTCTTTTAGCTCCTCTCTCATTTTTTAAATATACCCATGTTGCACCCTGTACTGCAGTGACCTCTGCACATTAATGAGAGACGTATGTACATACAAGCATATGCATATACAAATAATACAAATACATACGTGCATACATAAAAACAGAGAGAGAGAGATGCATAAATGCACACTAAATTGGAATTTTGTGATGATTTTTACAGGGATCACAACGGTGCTGACAATGACAACCATTAATACCCATCTACGAGAAACACTACCAAAAATCCCCTACGTGAAAGCCATTGACATGTATCTGATGGGCTGCTTTGTCTTTGTGTTCATGGCTCTTCTGGAGTATGCCTTGGTGAACTACATCTTTTTTGGCAGGGGGCCACAGCGCCAGAAGAAAGCAGCAGAAAAAGCTGCCAGCGCTAACAATGAGAAATTACGAATGGATGTCAATAAGGTAAATTGAAATGGGAAGTTTATGAAGCCACTCACAGTTACAGTATTAGGTTATTCATTTCCTCCTAACAGACCTTTCAGAAGCAATATCCTCTGCCAAATAAGTCTCATAGGAATAACAGAGTAAGACCTTGGCTTTTAAGATAGGGCTTTTCCAGATGATCAGAAGCTCCAGCAAAGTGAAAATGTACCCTTATTTGCAGCTGGAGGATTATCCAATCTATGGAAAGCATAAATTAGGACTGATCTACCGCTTTCTATCATACAGAGATCAAATAAGACCATTTCAAAGCAATAAAATGAATAAGACACGCTGAAGTTTTAATTTTTTAAAGCAAGGCAAATATTTATTAAGCTAGCATTCTTTTTTTTTTCCTTTTTTCACACTTTTGGTGTGCTCAGCTCTCACATATGAATATGAACATATATATTTGTTTACCATTTTTATGCCACACAATTACATTGTTTTCTAGGTGGTTTGCGAGACAGAGATACAATGCAATAATAACTAATAGAGTAAAAGCACCATAAGAAAACCATTTGCAGTAGATAAAATCATAAGACACACACACAAAGGCAACTTAGTAAGAATCAAAAGAGTATTTCTTGGAAGTGCTCCTCACAGTTTTGCTTCTTCATAGAACCACGCAATTGCTATGATTCTAGTTAGTACTCCGAATCAGAAAAGGTCAAGAATTATATGATGTTAGGCAAAAAAAAATGGTACTGTAAGAAAGTGACTTTATTCTGACCACAAAATAAGTAATACTTATTTGATCCACAAAGAATCATCTCGAAAGGTCTACAATCTCATTTTAATGGAACTTTCTTTCCTCAAGATTGATTTCCAAGATCTATACATTGTACATGCAATTTTCTATCATCTTTCAGGGTGATGTTTGAAGACTTTAACAATCCAAAATGATGGCTAAAAGTGCTAAAGAGCTGCATGAAATCTTATGAGAGAAACGAATGGTGTTTGCATGTGTGAATGTGTGTGTGTGTGTGTGTTTATTCATTTATTTATTTTACAGGATAGCATGTTAATATATTTTTACAGCAAAGATATCAGTGAAAATTTAATTCCACTGAAGTACAGAATAAATCCAGATAATATACATTTTTGCAAAATTGTATGTGTATAAAAGTGAAAAGAATGTATAAATAATGTTTTAAATCCAAATTCCTTATCAGTACTTGCATGAAAATTAAAGGAAAGGAAATCAGAAATATATTGAAGTTGTATAACTCCAGATTAGATTTTCTTTTATTCCTTCTTTTCCAGCCCCAGTATTATAATAGTGGTGCTGTGATAATTTTACTTGACTGTAAGTTGCAAATGAAGCAAGGTGAACTACCTAATGACCGACTAAACAGTGTACACTTCTCTCATGCCAGCCTTATCTAGCTTCTATATTTAGTTTTGTTAAAATAGATTATGCAGTATAGAAAGGCAGGGAAGAGAAGAATATGCTGCTATTCACCAGTTTTCAGTATAAGTGAAATACTGCTTTCCTTAGTGACTTTTCACAAGAAAAGAATCTACAAAACATTGATAAAATCAGTTAATTAAAATATGCTACCCAATGGAATCATGCTTACTTAGTAAACTAAGTTTCATGGAGTTTAGAAGGATTTATATACGGTTGATCTAATTTAAGTTGATACTCTTAAATTGAATTAAATTGAAATTAATGGAAGATCTTTAAATAAATTATGGATAGACCTATATCTATCTATATCTATATCTCTTTATCTATTTGGATTTCTAGCCCATTTCATGTATTTCAATAAAAATACTGAACCCACTGAAAAATATTTTTGACAATATTTGGCATCGTGCTACAAATATGAACCCTGAGGAAAATTCCATTTCAACCAGTGAGTCCAACTCCCAAAAACACATATGAAAATTAATATCCTTGTTACAATTTATATCTATCTTTTCATTACTATGATGTCCAAAATGTTGGTGAGTTCAGAGCTGCGTATATTCTCGCAAATGGGTTTGAGTTGTAATTTTCTTTGTCTAGTACTTTATGGCAAGAGGGGCAATTGCTGGAGGGACAGTAGTCTTCTGCCCTAATTAACATACTAAAATTGTGGCTGGCTTGGTCATTATTTTGTCAGGTGGAAATTGGAAAAGAGTAGTTATGCAGCAGAAGGGGCAAAAAAAAAAAAAAAACCATGTTCTTCTGCAATATGCCACAGAAGGCAAAACAACAAATGTCTCAGTTGGCAAAGGGTGCCCCCTGGAGGCACTGCTTTCCAGAAGTTAAAAAGATGAAGAATACTTTTGCTCGTCCTTGCTTAAAATGATGACAATCGTTTTCCAAGAATCATAGGATCTTTAGAATGCAAGGTATTTTCTGAATTGACAACTAAGCAGCAAACAGAAGACAATAGCATTTCTCCACTAATGGCTTAAAACATTTTATTAATGTCCCTTAGCCACATGAAATACATGTAACAAAATAGAATAAAAGGCAGAAATAAAAGAAAATACAAATCTTATTTTGTTATCACCCCCTACAAAAAATATAGCTTATTTTCATTATTTCTATTCTGGCACAACAATGGCTGGATGAGATTTGAAAATGCTAGAAGCTACTAAGTTGGAAAATGACCTATAGCGGCCTTCTATACCACATTCTTTCAAAACAATATAATAAACAGGGAAGTAGTGTGAGCACCCCAGGGTGGAAAAGCAGCATGTAAATTCTGAAATAAAACAAAGGGAAGAGGAAGTGCAAAAAGAATGGAATGAAAACTGTCCAATAAAGGAATAACAGTAGATATTTGGGAGCTTGGCTTCTTTACAAACTTAAAAATGAATACATCTTTTTTTTTTTCCTGAGACAAAATTAAATATAGTTTTCTGTGTATGTCAAGTCTTCTTTGTATTAGATTGATGCTTCTGAACAGCTTTGGAATTGATGCTATTTATGGAACAGAACATTTTATAAATTGGCTAGAATATTTTTTTAAAAAAACTTTAACGATAATACAGCATATAGAGATATGCAAATATAGATAGATATATATTCATTTTCCTCTTTTAAGAAGTATATCAAAAGTATTCTGTGCTGATTTTATTATTATTCTTTAGACTTCTTATAATCTTTTTATTTTATTTAAAACAAAGGTTTTTTTCAAAAGAAGATTATCTATGAATAAACAGATAATTACTGAGGTTGTGCAATTATTATTCAATATGACATTAGTAAGGGTTCCAAGCAGAAATTATTTTTATTATATCAAAAAGAAGTATGTTTGAGTTTAATGCTAAAATCTCCACTACATTATTATTTATAAACTTTGAAAGAAAAAGAAAAAAACCCTAAAAATAGTATAGGTAAATATTTAATTTATGACTTCCTGTACTCCACCCAACTTGCAGTGCCTGTTGATGTAAGTTTTAAAAACCAAACTCTAAATGTTTGTGTAGAATATGTTAATTCATATTCTCTATTGTTTGGTGGGCAATGTCTATAAAACCAGCAAATGTTATAGATTGCCCTGTGCCAAGAAATTATGTCCAATTTCACAAAGGTAGGTTCTGAAGTATCACTTGATAAGCAAGTATGTGGTCTAGGGAAGGTTAACATCGGTGGTAAGTATTTTGATTTGGAAATGTCCTCAAAAATCTTCCTCTGTAAAGGAAATTAATGAGAGTGTTAAACACAAGCACTTTTCAGGGGTTAGTGTCACATAGAAGCCTGAAAAAGAGTTCTGGGTTCGCATGAGGTCTAATGCACTTCCAGATCATGCACAGCTCTAACTTTTAGTCACACCATCACCGCCCCCAGCCCCATCACCCCATCCAGGCATGCAATGGTGAAACAAAACCTCAACAAAGGGAAAAAAATCAGAATGTGTATGTCTTTCTGCACTGCTCGGAAGTTCTGAAGTTCTCATAAAGTCTTATGGTAATTTAAATTCCTTTCAAATTATCTTGGAGGGATGTCTCATCTCAGGGAGCTCAGAAGTATTCTAAAGCAACCTAACTGACTCGGCATTCATATGTTGGCCCAATCTGGTATCTACCCTAAGTTTAAAGATCCAAACCAATATTTTCAGCTGAATGTACAAATACTGAGTACATCAGCAGTATATGGTGATTGCAGCAGACTTTACCAAAGGCAAATTTTTGGATCTCCAGAGCTGATCTCCATTCTGTCAAAATGGTGGCACTCTGCATATAATACAATTTTCTTTGCTTTATTTGATTTGATTGGACAGTTGGGAGGATGCTACTATATGAATGATGAAACCATTAAAAAATAATGTATGTGTTACTGAAGTGTCTGCTAAGATGTATGAGATAAGCAAAGATCTGATAAACTGAAACACCCTAGTGGCTGAAGATTGGTAAAAGGTCTATGGAGCACTTCAGTTTCACAGGGGAAAAGGTGTTTTGCAGCATGTATAGGCACATACCTAGCACCTATTAGAAACTCTTAAAACAAGCAGATCTTTCAATAGAAGAGCATATCTATACCTCAGGGCTGAACTGTGGAATACTTGGTGTTCTCTGAGCTTGGTTGTTTGCTTGCAGACATTTCATTACCCAACTAGGTAACATCATCAGTGTGAGTGAATGTGGGGTTTGCTGCCTGTTTATATGTAGTAGCTTGCCCTGCTGGTTTTGGAGGGAGTGTAGTTTCCTCCTTGGCAGTTCCTTGATTAGAGTATTGTTTTCTGTCTCCACCAAACTCCACACTCACTCACATTGATGTTACCTAGCTGGGTAATGAAATGTCAGCAAGCAAACAACCAAACTCAGAGGGCACCAAGAATTCCAAAGCAGATTGTTTCCTGGGAAAAGACATGGCTGTTTTAAGAGTTGCCAACATATATTGTATGAGCACTCCTGCACTCTCTTAAAATCCAAAGTCCTGCATAGTTATAATAGGTATTCCTTTTCATATTATATAGCCCAATGAGATAGCACTCAGAACATCTTATTAAGCATTGCCTTGCACAAAGGGAACATTTTTTAATTACGTTCGTGACATTTAAATTTCATCCTAAGAAGCCCTCCCTGAGAGATTCCTTCTTCCAGGGATTCTCCAGCAAAAGAAAATTATGATAGGCTGTACCAGTAGACTGCACCTTCTGATATGCTTTGAGTGTCCATCTGAGGACTCTTAGCTCTTCTATCCAGATCAGCCCAGATGTAGGAAAATAGAAGGAAAGTTCTTTGGATCTTCCCACCTAAGGACCAGAATCAGAGAACTTAACAAACTTTGTTTTCAATCCTAAAATGTAAGGATAGCTAGGTAACCCTGTACTCCTGCATGCGGGATGGATTTCTAATGAGAATTTCTCTTTTAAAATCAGTGAATCCAAATCTGTAAATATTAAAAGAAGTTTATTGAGAAAAAGGAAATACTGGGAAACAGAGGAATGCAACAGTATCACACATGGAGGGTTCCAAATAAAATAAAAGCAATCAGTATAGTTAACTTAGCTAAATATTTTCTTATTACCTCCTTAAATGAGATTGTGGATTTCAGCACATATTAATTGCAGAGAAGTGGTTAGAGAGAAATCTTTTTAGTCTGAGCTTGTACGTTTGCAGACAAGCTCTTTGTGTTATTGCTAAATAAGAGAATATTGAATTGCTAGACACAGACAGAAGACAATATTTATTGTTTAATGAATATTGTATTTTGGTTAAAGATAAAATTCACATTTTCTTACAAAGATCACTCGTCTCAAAATTTATGACTAGTCACTGACAAGCATACAACACTGTTCCCCTTTTTAGAATTCTGAGTGTATGGAAATTAAAGCTTGGCTCAGGTACAACATCTCCATAGCGTCTGCCACCACTTTCCTTTCCAGCAGTACATCTCCATCAGGTCAAATACTGACCATAGCTTTAGCCCAGAGTGTCAAAATTCTAGCCTGAGAGCAGCTGTGGTTGGCAGAACTAGGCAAAGAGGATGTGCATTGTACAAGTGAAAGGGCACTCCAAAGCAGCAAAGGTTTTCAATCCCGAGTAGTCAGATTTGGGACTCAAATGCATTTCCTAAATTAGTATCCTAATCATTTCAGGTCCTCAGCCACAATTTGCTTCATTGTATCATCTTACTTTAGAATTTTGTTTTGTTTTTTACTTAATGCCTGATGCTCATGCTCTTCATCCCATTCATCCCAAACTCTAGAGCCCTAAATTACATAATAAAATACCCTAATGAGTTTGCCTGTGGATTAGGAATGCTACAATATCTAATGATTATGATGATTTATAAAATGTGTATGATACCCAGCCTCAATGATTCTGGGTGTCTCACAACAATCAAATGAAGAAATTACTATAAAATCAATAAAACATAATAAAGATAAGAGATGGCAAGCACAATGAAGTTTATTCTACCTCACATTCTGTTATTTTTTATTATACAAATATCTGTACAATAATATGCAGTTTTTGTGTTTGTTTGCATTAAAACCCTCCTCTTAATTCAGCTTTGAAAGCAAAATAACATAGAGATTTGACCAAAAATATACGCATGCATCAATCTGTTAAATTAAATTATATTTTACACTTTGAATTTCTAGTGTCTTCATGTGGAAAATCTCCTTCCATGATTTTTTTCTCCTGAATTTCCATTCTGTTTTGTTCTAAATGTGCCATTTTTCTGTGCTAACCTTGCACGGAAATAATTTGGAAAGATAGTTTTAAGACTATTATATTGATTGTTTGCCAGAGTTTTTTTTTTTTAATATTAAGAACTGCCACTTCACTATTTCAGTGTGCTTTACAATTGACTTTAATATTCCTCCACCTTTGGCTCTGAACCTCCTGTATTTGACTCACATGTTCTTTGTTCTCATTTTTCCCAAATTATTTATTTATTTAGTACCTATTATCAGGCTTCATGTGAGATTGTGTAGCCTCTTCTTCTTTGTCATGTGATCTACACTATTAGCATTTTTTAAGATATTTGATAGAGGACACAGATCTATGTAGGAAAGTCGCCTTCTTTTTCCTTTTGTTGAGTTTCTTGTGTTCTGTTACTTCTTCTGTCTGTATGTTTAGAAATAATGGAGTGTAAAATCTATCATCCAATTTCAGAGACATTTAGAGTTAATAAATTTACAACTACTATGTTAGTTCTAGCTCTGCTCACCATTCCCTAAGTAGTCAAATCTAAAAAATTTATTTAGCATATTCTCTACTTTGTCTTCCAGATCTTTTATAAAGATATAAAACAAAATGGGACCGAATTGCGATCCCTGGATCCCACTGGAAATCTCTCCCCAACTAGATGGACTGCCAGTTACGATTACCCTCTTAAAACGGTTAGATAGCCAGTTTTTGATCCATTTGATTGTATTAACTGTCCAAAACATCTTATGTTGGCCTTCTAACCATAAGATATTGTATAGTACTGTATGGCATGTTTTACTAAAACCCAGATAAAGTATCCATTACATTCTCATTATGTATTATATTGTAACTTTTACAGCCGAAGAACAATTAACAGATTATATATTGCTATACCAAAGTTTATGAATTGATTCAGCTGACTTCATTTTTAAGCCATGTTGATTTAGCCTTTTGTGCTATTTTTCTGTTCAAATATATCCTTCATTTGTTTTATAATTACAGAAGAGTTAACTAAGGTTGTAGAATATAGTCAAAATGATATCTTATTTCAACCTTTCAGTAGGAACCATGTCTTCATTTAAATTCTTTTTTTGTCATCAAGTATCAGATGATTGAAAAGTCTCTTTTAGGGGTGTATTTCTGTTTGTCTTAAATTTGTATATGCCATACTGTTTGTGTGTCTATGTATGTGTGTTTTAAAGTAATTGTTTATTTAGCGTAACCTATTTCCCACCATATTGAATTTTAGCTTTGTTCACCCATTCCTGGTTTGTTTTTTTACACTTTTAATGTATTTATACTTGAAATGTTCTTGGAATCTTAATTCATATTCTTACACTACCATCTTAGATTTGCTTTGCTTCAGATTATATTCTGCTCTGCTTTCTTCAGTGAACATTTTTCTCTTCATTTTCCATATAGGGCCTATAATTCTGTAGCAATAATATCTTAGCTTTGATTTTTTTCATGGATAGCTTCTTTGCGGCCTCTGAGACATACATGAATTCACCTCATTTTCTGTTTTGGGACCACCAATAAATCTTTTTCCTTATTATTGCTCTAAATAATTTAGTAACTCTGCCATATTCTTGCTATCTTTTATAAATATACTAGCACATTAACAATCATAATAATCAAATATGTAATAGACTAGTAAAAAACAATACACATATGGTAATGAAAGAATTTTGTTAAGCAGTAGTTAATAGATGAAAACACTATAGAAATCTGTGCCAGAAAGTGTTCAGTTCTTTTACAAGATTTCCTTATCAGATACACATACACCTATAGGAGTTGCAAAAGTTGCAAACTTTCATCATGTGAAAGCCAACTTTGTTTAATTTATCACCTGGAACCTTTTCAAAACTGTTTACTTAGGAGCCAGTCCTACTTATAACTCCAAACTCTTATACTATACTATCTTTGACCTATAGCGTAGAGATAAAGGCATTTTATCTAAATTGTTTTTCAATTTTTTTTTAGATATCATACATATCTGCCAATTTTGATTTTGTGAATGTACAAATGCATTCGCCAAAAGATTTAGAGAAGGTAGAATAAGTAGACCTGATTTCAGATAACTCTACAAAGAAATAGCAAATAACAGAGGCAAGGATTCCCATAACATATGTGCACACATAGAAACAATCTCTGAGAGTGAAATAAATATGCAGTACAACTCATCATAGTAAGTAAAACCACGGCCACTTGACCTGCAGAGTGTGTTGTCCAGGTGTTGTATTGATGGGCAACTTCAAGTATCCCATTTCTTCCTTATTTTCTCATGAGCTTAGATGGAACAGCCCCTTAAATTAGAAGACTGCCCTTTATAAAAGAGGACAAATGGCCACTCAGAATAGAAGTATGAATAAAAATGACTTGGAATAGCCTGCTCTCCCCACTAAGGTTAGGATAGCCACATTCCTGTAATCATTTTGGAAAGCAGTAAGACTGGCCTTTCCAGACCTTTGGGATAAGGGATACAACATATCCCTTAATTAAATTAAAAGCAACCGTGCCTAGGAGGGATTACTCTTACTTAGGAGGCCAAATAATATGTTTTATTTTGTTGGCTGGGTTTTATTGTGAGAACCTAGAGAGCATATAAAGATAAGGGAAGCACACTGAGTATTGCTTCTGGAATTCTTTCCAACTTTTTAAGAACAGCTCTGGGTTATGTGACCAGCAAGAAAGAGGACATGGGACTTCGAATGGAGGAGTCAGCAATACTCTTGAGTCACTGCCCAACAGCCTTTCCATTAGGGATGTATGGGGAATATTTTTTTAAACAAAATTCTCCACAGTTGATGTAATGGTCTGTGGGAATGACCTTGGGAGATGGGGGAAGATCCACACAAGGACAATGGTCAGATAAGAGACAGCTTAGCCCACAACAGGAATGTGGGCATGGCAACTGCCTCAGAAGGGACCCTCCCTACTCTCTTGGGCTGTAAAGGAAATGGAGGAGAAATGTACTTGCAGACAAGATTCTGTTAACGTAACCTCACAATAAAGTAGAGCTAGTTCTTCTGGGTGTACTTCTTGTCTGGACTACCTCACAAGGCTGACAGCCCCCAATCAGAGTAGGACCATTTTTCAAGCTTGATCTTTCTTTTCCTACATGCCAGATTTGGTCCAGTTCTGTTCATTTTTTAGAGGATTATTATGCTGGTGGGCATATAAACAGATAGTGTCCTAAGTGCCTTTACATAATTTCTTCTCAGTATTTCATTGGGTTGGAAGGAATAATAAGGAAGGAAAAGCCTGCAGAGCATGGCTTCTAGAATTCTTTCCAACCTCTTAATAGCAGGACCTTCCTGAGAGAGAAGGCAGAGGAGTTAAGAATGGAATAAGCTGCATTCTAAGCTGCTGCGAAATTGCCATTTCCATAAGGACATATTACAAAAAATATTTCTGGATTTTTTTTCCTCTGCAGCTGGATTCAGCCCATTTTCCAACTCAATCTTTCTTTTGTTTGCTTCTCCTGCCACACCAAATTTAGTCCCATCCTATTCTGGATTTGAAGGCCTATTTTGCTTTCAGACACAGGGACAGAGTCTGAAATTCCTTTGAATTAGAAAGAATAGAAAGCAGGGAATCCATTAAGGAAATGCTTTTTTTTTCTTCTAGGATTCCAGTGGCAATTGATTTACCTGAGGATTTTAAAGAAGAGACACCTCTCAATAATGGGGTGATTTTAATGCAAGAAAGGGAGCAGAATGTGACTTCACAGAACAAAAATAGAGAAAAGCATTAGTAATATGTTTTCCTTTGGCAATCTGTTACTTAGCTATTGTTTTAGTTGATACATTTCTATTATGTCTTTCCTGCAGCAACTTAAGAGGGTTTATACAGTGCACCTTCCTCAAAGTTTCCTTCATAAGAATATGAGGTATGTTAGACTAAAAAATAGCAATTTGCCCCCAATAACTCAGTATTTTTTCTGGCTTAGGGTGGAAATGAACCAAGATGTTCTGCAGTTCTGTTTCAATAACTTGACAACTGCATTACATTGGTTCACTCATACAGCATCGGAATATCATACATAAATTCTTAATTGAGTCTAAAACCAAATGGAGTTTGTTTCTTACCCAGAACAGAATTCCTTCTGTTTCTAACAATTATTTAAAAAATATATAAAAAGATAAATTCCTAAGAAAAAGTTGAATTTTCCATCATGTAAAAATAAGTTTACATGGTTCAAAGAATAATTTATAGGCTAAGATTGGTGGCAGAAGTAAAGGTACTATTCAATAAATGAACTTTATTTGCTCCATACATTTCACACTGAATTTGCAGTCTTATAATGCAAAAAAACAAAAAAAAGTGCAATGTAAAAAAACTTATTGATCATTGTACTTCACTGTTGTATAAGGATTTGCTATGAGCCAGCAGTGTGCTGAATAGCATTGTTTGCTATTTTCCCTTAGCATTATGTAAGATTGTGATATGAATGTAATATGAGGTGGTGGAGACAGTAGCAGACCTCGCCTGTGGCTTGTTCCAGAAAAAGTAGAAGGTAGCTTCATTATATCTCTGCAGCAGTATTTCTGGTGACATCACAAAGAAGGTCAAGTCAGCTGTGTAGGACTCTTTATGCATTGCAGTGATCCCAGAATTCCATTTTCACTTTGCTCTAGGACATTCACATGCTGTATCTAAGGTACATCAGCCTTTTTTACATAATCAGAGAGTTTACCTTCCAGTACATTCAGAAAATAAAATATTTCTTGCCATGGCAGAACTCTTCTCAGGCAACATATTTTATCTCTGAGGATTTTTAATTGAGCCTACATTTACATAGAAAATACTGGTGCACAAATATTTTGGATGGAAATGTTGAGTTCAAAACAGCCTGTTTTGAGTGGGAAACAGCTGCTTCAAGTGTGAAATGTTGCTATTCTGAGAATTTTACACTCCCAAAATACTTGGAATAAGTGTGGGGTTCATGCTCAAAACGGGATGTTTCAAATTCAAAATAATTGTTGCATATTCCTAATTCAAAAGTTCAGGAAATGTGGCAAAGTTCTCTTGTTTTAGGCTCTGTGGAAGTAAGGTAGGTAATGTCTTCTACCTCTTGGCTAGGGCCAAATTATAGTACCCATATCATAAAGTACTGTTTAACTCCTTTTGCACTTGGTGACCTCATTTTTAAGCAAGTAGTCTAGTATTTGTTCTCATAGAATTGTGACTTGGTGGCCTAAAGAAGGGTCTCTGCAATGAATCAGGCAGCAAACTACCTTTCTAAAAGATTGCCTACAGGTCCCAATTTGCCCAGTGCCTGCAAGAATGATTTTTCCATTGTGTGTTATGTATGTGTGTATGTAGCTTTCTTATCTTATGGGACTGTAGTCATTTTAGTTGTTAGGGCAAAATCAAGCCAGATATAGTTAAACATGAGGAGCAGTTCAGATGTTAGCAAAGTAGCACAGTAGCTGAGTGGTTAGGCTTGCTTGGCTAGACTCCAAGCTGTTTTGATTATGTCTATTAGAAAGACCATAAATATATTTGACCCAATGGGAATTGTTCTAAAAATGGCCCTGCCCTTTGGAACAGCATCTCTCTAGAGATACACACAGCTCCCCCTTTCCGGAGATTCCAGAAGTCTCTTAAGAGACTTGGTGATGTTCCCAGTCCATAAGGTGTCAGTGGAGCTCCTGTCAAGACTTTTTTGCATGTTGGAGAGTGCTGT